CCCTGCACCCCCTCCCCGAAAAAAACCTAACCTAACCCTAACCTGTGTTGCTACTATTATTAATTGTCACGATGCATAGTGCTTGTTCTGTGTTGAATCGTACGGTGTCGAATAATTTGGTGTCGAATAATTTCGTGTCGAATTGTACGGTGTCGAATCGTACGGTGTCGAATAAATCTGTGTCCAATAATTTGGTGTCGAATCGATCGGTGTCGAATCGTACTGTGGTCAAACGGAACACGCCCGGGACCGAAGCATAAAGCTCGCCGTTTTTACGCCAACGTGGTCCACTCGGTGGCCCTGTATGGGGCAGCGTTGTGGGCGGAAACCGCCGCGAGGGCAGGAGCGCGGAGCAAATTTGCATCGCTCCGCGCCTCCCAACGAGTAGCAGCTCTTCGCGTAATATGCGGCTTCCGTACGGTGGCGAGAGAGACGGCGGGCGTACTGGCGGGGATGCCTCCCCTTGCCCTCCTCGCTGGCATGTACTCGGCGAGATATTCTCGCCGGGTCGAACTCCAGCGGGAGGGACTTGCAGGGGATGCGCTGCGAGAGGCCCTCGCCAGGTCGGAGCGCCAAGCCCGGCGACAACTGCTCCTTGGTTGGGAGCAGCTCCTGAGCGAGCCAGATGTGGACGCTCAGGAAGTCGTCCGGGTCGTCCGACCCCACTTACGAGTGTGGTTGGACAACGGGGTCGGACGCCTCATCTACCGTGTGCTTACCGGGCATGGCTGCTTCGGTGAGTACCTGTATCGCATCGGACGCGAGTCGACGACGCAATGTCACGCGTGCGGGGCGGCCAGCGACTCGGTGGAGCACACCGTGGAAGAGTGTCCACGGTGGGCGCCGAGAGCTGATCGCCAAAATAGGAGGCAACCTCTCCCTGGAGGGCCTGTTACGGGCGTTGGCCTCCAGGGAAAGAGACGAGTGGGAAGCGGTTGTCTCCTTCTGCTCCGCGGTGATGGAGCAGAAGGAGGCAGCCGAACGAGAGAGGGAGAGGCTACCTCTCCCTCTGGGGAGACCCCGAAGACGTGCGCGAGCGGGTGGCGGGGCCCCCGCTTCCTGCGTATGTCGTAGGGGTCGTGGCATGCCTCCCACTTGACAATGAGCCTCCCCTTTCTCTCTGTGAAAGAAAAATAGGGGAGACTCAATTGTACATTGCGGGACGGTGGGCGTTGAGAGGAGCCGGGCCTCTCGTTAGCCCACCGATCCCGGGGAAGCGTCTAGGACGCGTGAACGAGGGGGCGGCGGCTGATATTCTCGTGGTGGTACCGTCCACCACGGTTATGTGGTTTATTTTGTGTTATTTAACAGCCGCCGCCGGGCCGTGACGAGTCGAGGTGAGGGCCTCAGCTCGTCTTGCACACGGCCCAAGAGACGGGGTGTCATCACGGTGTGTGTCCCGTGGTGACACCAAGTTAAAGGTTGAGGCGATCAACGCTTGAGGAGAAGACATGAACGAGAACTTGTTCTCAATCAGTCTCCTCCTTATAGAAGCTATTAGCTCCAGGAGGGGACCCGCGCGCATCCTGACAATGGAATCCCGGGTCCCCTCCTTTTTTTTTTTTTTTTTTTTTTTTATACGAGAGAAAATGCGTTATGCACCCCCGCCCTGTGGGGATTTGGACGGGGAGTGTGGGACTCGCACCCATTAAAACTCCTCGATGGCCTCCTGCGGACTTATTGGGGGGGGGGCCTGTGGCAGCCGTTAGGCTATTACATCTCCAGGCCCCCCCAGTCCAATACATCGCCTCTAAATTGCGGTATGAGGAGGGGGCCATAACCCTCCTCAAACCGCCCCTCCCTGGGGACTCGTGCAATGGTGTGACAAGTTCCCCAACTTGCCACACCAAGTCCCCGCCCCCCGTGACCGAAATCAGGAGGGGTCAATGTAATTTTTTACGTCCCGTACCCGCGACCAAGCAGCCCCTTAACAGGGGCTGGGTCCAGAGGTCACGCCCGAGCCGTGACCTCTCCATCTCGAGCACGGGAACTGCCTCCAAGCCGAGCTAGATGCTCGGCTTGGAGGACTTAGGTCCCGGCTTACTTTTCCCTTTTGGAGGGGAGGTCGAATCGCCTCCCCTCTGTCGCTGCCGCTTGAGGGAGGACTNCTTATTGGAGCCCGCCCTNGAANTTGACGCTTTTCGCGCCACAACTTTAGATGACCGGGNCCCCGCAACCTTGCGGTATTTGGCCCCGGCCAAACTCNTTCTGGAGANAGAAGAGGGCACCCCGCCGCTCTCACTCCCCTTTTTCCCGGTCTCCGGATCTCTCCGAAGACCAGGGGGCCCTTTTGAGGTAGAGGCCACAGCGGCCTCTTCCCCTTTCTCCGCGTCGGGCCTTGTGCCCACAAAGGAGGAGGACGGGGGAGGAAAAGT